GTTAGAATGAATCCTCCAAACAGCTTTTTTTTTTTTTCCTTTTTAAATACTGCTGCTTTGAGCTGCTCTCTGGTTTAGACAGACTGGATGTGGGGCAGAACATACAGATAAAAAGACACTTAATTTTGGAATGCTCTAGGGCAGAGCTGATTTTTCGTTATCTTGCAGACAGTCTCTGTGGGGTCAGGATGTGGCATGGTGCAGTAGGTGCTGCAGTGTTACTGCTGATGCCTCTGCACTGTGTACTAACTATCCTCCAAGAAGGCTTATCTGCACACATGCTGAGAAGGTTCTGAAGTGCTGAGATGGACAGGATATCTGAAGCACTTGCTCATAGAGGAGATATGGATTTCCTTTAAAGTTTGGGAGGGGCCTGTGTTACGGGCATATGGAGAAAAGGAAAGCTGAAAGCCATCCCTTGGGTAGTTGGCTGCATTTGAATTGTTATTGCTAAACCTTAAAGCAAAATATATGAACAAAGTGTCTGGGTTCACTAACCTGGATGGGTGCAGGGCCCTGCTGCTGTAGCACAGCTGTTTTCCCATGGAGGCTCAGCACTGTGTGTCAGTATTGATTCAGTTTGTGGTGGCAGGGCAGCCTGGGGACTTGCTCATCTGATTTGGTCCTGGGCCAAAGATGACTGGGTTGGGGAACCTAGAGGAGTTTTCCTGGCATAAATGGGAATATAATTGAATGAGACACTCCTTAATTGTAATCTACTCATGTTATCCAAGCTGGACAGCTACAGCAGAGCATGTCTAATTTCTCCTGGAGGTTCTGACATCCACCTGCTGAGTGGCTGTTTAGGACTGTGGGAGAGCTGTGATCCCATGGCTGGTGTCTCCTCTGTCCAGTATGAAATGAAGGATCCTGTCACGCTGGTGGGTTGGGACACAGTGCTGATAAAATGGATTAGCAGAAATCAGTATTTATTGGGTATTACTGCAGTTGTCTTTTCCAGCTCTAGATAGCACTGGAGTGTGTGAAGACAAGGCCATGGCAGTGGCAGTTCTTTCTCTCTAGAAATAGCACAGCCCTCAGTAATGGGGTTTTCAGGATGATATCTGATAAAGGGACTAATTATTCTCTGTGTCTCACTTTGTATCTCCAGTGACTTTCCCTCTTGAGGCAAATGGCAGGGGGAGAACTTGTGTGTCACGTTACTTTAGGGGGAATTTTCTCCTCTGGAGAAAGTGATAAGTGAAGAAACTATAAATGTATACAGCAAAACTCAACGCGATCAGGACTCTCCTTAACCTGTCTTTGTGGGACCAAGCGAGCTGCCAAAGGGGAGCTTGACACTTGGCTTCTTACTGTTTTCTTCTCTAGGTAGAAAGGAAGCACATTATGAAGGGTGAAATCTCACTGTTAAACTGGAACTGTTACAGTATTTTCCCTTTGGGGAACTTCCTCAGTAGCAGGAAATAGATTTACATCTTCTCATCACAAAAGGCTTTTTTTTTGTGTCTTTTATTTAGAAAATTAAATGCAACAGGAGATCTTCCTCAGCCAGGTGGAAATTACGAGTTAGATTCAAGAGCAACATAATAAGCTATTTGCCCAGTTTCATATCCCCATTTCCCCCTCTTTCTGTGGGTGAAGTTTAGGGGCGCTGGGCCTTCAGGAGTCTGTAGGGTGCTTGTTTAACAACCTTGTTCAGAATACACTTTCAAGAGCTTTTTATAGCAATTCAGATGTTAACTCTCTTCTGAGTCTTCCCTCCTATGCACTGCCCTGGTCCACTAACTGAAATGGCTGTGACAGGTCTTTCCTGAAGATTTCCAAAGTGATGTAGAAGAGATTCTGTTTGCAAACCAGAGCAAAACTGGTTGGGGAGGGAAATGTTTCTACAGTAAAATAGCAAATAAGGCATCATCTCAAGAACGTCACAAAAGGGGGATGTAGGATTGGTTTGTTTGGGTTCTTTTCCCCCCTCCCTTGCTAGACCTTGTCTTGACTGGGAACGCAGTAAGCGTGAAAAACATTTAACCATATTCTTCAGTGCTCTTCGTCCTATTGCCTTTACAAGTTGCTGGCTGGTTATAGACAGTGACTTGTTTTGTCTTAGTACCCATCCTCCTTTACTGAGCTTTGATTGTTGAAGTGGTGAGCAGACAAATTGAGAAAATGCTGTATGTTGCAGTGGAAGATCTGGTCTGACTGGGGTGTGCTCTGTGAGCTTCTACTTGGCAAGTTCTCTGCGGTGAAACATTTCTTTTTCTTCCCCCTAACTGAAAAGTATAATTTCAGATTTTAAAAACAAAAGAGCCCACAAAAAGAATGGAATTTGCTGTTCTTCCAAGCAAGAATTCTCTAGTTCAGATGTACAGACTGCTATACATATGCACAGACCACACAGCCTCTAAAGAAACTGGAATTATGTTACTTGAGAAAACACTTGTTATTACGTTGTCAGCTGTTGCCTCTTTGAGGACGGCGGTTTTGGGGTGGGATTTTCTTGTTTTGCTTTTCTTTTGTTTTTATTTCATTCATCTGCTATTTTGAAAACAAAAGGCTGGTATCCTCAAAGCTGATACAGCTGATGGCACTCTGAGTTCATTTCATACCGAACCATCAAGCTCCTGTCCAGAGTTTCATACAACTTCATTCATTTTCAAACCTTCAGTGTGGGAGGCTGACCAGTGTACCAACAGCAGTATCATATTTACTTCAGCAGCTGAGGGATGTCTTTACTGTTTTGGTCCTGCTGAGACCTGCAGACAGGTCCTTGCTCCAGAGGAATGCAGCAGGGAATCAACCAAGTTGTCTTCAGTTCTCTACCTACCCTGATTCCAATGGACAGGGGACAGAACGAGTTGCCTGTGTGCTGTTGTTGCAGCAAACCGTGACTGTCTGCAAGGGTGAGGACTTCAGTTGTTGGTTCCATTGCTGTAGCTGGGTAGATTGCAATGAGCACTGAGCAATGATGAGGCTAACTGAAGAGCACGTGCTGCCTATCGCAGTACTGCTGCTCCTGTAAGATGTTGCACCAAAGAGTTAATGTGCCTTCTCCAGTGGAAGCTTTCTGTGCAGTGCTGGGGCTTACGGTGACTCTCATGTTTAAAATAACAGTGATAGAAAAGGCCTCCAGTCTTTCTGTCTGTGTCTCAAATATCATAGAGGTATCAGGGTGGCAAACAATGGGGGCCTGGAAAAATGTCTTACCAGAAGGGCTATGTGTTTTTGTCACTCTTAAGGTCACCCCTGCTCTAAGCTGTGACTGGCACTATTCAGGCTTTTTGACCAACACTGCATGTAGAAAAGCTTTCCAAATGACTACATTTACAATACAACCTTGATCTTTGCTTCTTTTCCTCTTTCCCCCTTCTTTGAAAGCTGCTCTTTGTAACGTTTCCAACAGTGCCTTGCTGCATTCCCGTGCTTTTACTCTTCTACTCTGATCACACAGGGGTGCAGTTGCTGGCATTTTTACAGACTAATTCATGGTCTCCACTTTCTGCTGCTCCTAAAAGACAAACTACTAGCTGGGGATGTAAGCAGTCTCCACACCTGCAGCACAAGCAATAGTCACTACTTATGAGCAAAAACTCAGTGCTGGTGAAAGCATCTTCATAAAAGGATTGAACTGATTGCATAATAAATGCAAGTGCAGGCCTGAGCTGTGCTTGTTCTTTTCTTATCCACGTTCCCAGAGCAAGAGAATGTAATTTGTTCGCTCTTGATTTACAGTTTCCACCAGGAAATAAATTGGGATAACACAAGAGGTATCAGCTGCCAGTCACTCCCTTTCCTACCATGCAGTAAGGCTTTACATCCCATTACTAACAACCTCACCTCTTTGTGCTCCCTTTCTCTCCCTTCCTTGCCTCAAGCCATTCTCTGAACTAGAACAGCCAGAAACTCATACAGCTATGTCAGAAACACAGGTGAGTATCAAAAGCTTTGTAAATAGTCCTTGTGCAGCACAAAAAAAAAAAAAAAGAAAAAAATAAAACTCCTATCCTTTAAGTCTGAGCTGTGGCTTATGGAGCAGATGAAGCAGGACATTTTTTGTGTGATGTGAGTGATTCAGAATTGCAGGGAGGAGAGGAGAAGAAACAATCTTGTTCAGAGGGTATGAATCTGCCTGCCTGGAATATCCTGTATCTTTGCTTTGCTCAAATAGCCTTATGTATGAAGCACTTTATCCAAATGCAGGAATTAAAGACCTATTACTACAGCTGGTAGACTGGAAATGTTTACAGATTCTATATGACATTCCATGATTCTGTTACATGTGTTTGTAAAAATGTTTAAAGAAAACAAAAGACCTATAAAGTTCCATATGTGATATTTCCAGCAGAGTGCTATGTGTATTTCACTGTCCACCATGCTGAGTTGGGCTGATCTGAGAGCTGTCAGCTCACAGGCTGCAGGCACGTGGCAGAGCCTGCAAGCATGGGTGCACTGCACTTTGTAGCATGGAGTTGCTGAAAGGTGGGATTTTGTTCTGTGTGTTTCTACCTGTCTGTATATCCAAGCTGACAGCAGGAACTGCACACTGAAGGCAGAGCTCAAACTGGACAGCTCTAGCAGAAGCTGTTTTCTTGACTTGTACAAATTTATGCAAATCTGAGCTGGAGAATCTGGAAGGGAGCTCTACCAGAGCTTTTCCAAGGGCTCTCACAGCACTTACAAGCCTTGCTTTCTCCTGGGAGGTAATGCTGAATGTGGAACTGCATAAAAGCTGATACAGAGAAGATGCTCAATAGCTTTTGCTATTAGCCTGAAAGAGACAGCAAACATACTTCTATAAAAGGAAGCAGTCTGCAGAGAAGCCCATCAACCATCCAGAAACCTGGCAGCTGTTTACAATGGGACAACACATACTTTTGCTGGGAAAAAAAAAACAAAAAACACTTTAATTTTCTAAAAATGTTTCTAGTCATGATAGAAAACCCAAATATATTAACAACATGAGAACTTCCTGTTAGCCCTCCGTTTCTTGAGAGTTGTAATCAAGTAACTACTCAGGCATATCATAGGGACTTCACAGCATGGAAATTCTTACTATGTTTATTTCTGCTCTAAGAAATCCCCTTATTTTCTTTACTTCCCTGTGAGCTGGCAGTCAGCTTCTTCTTGCGGGGGAGCTGAGAAAGGAGCCCCCTGGAAGCACTCGTGGTGTCCCAGCCCAATGTGGGCAGCAGCACGTGGAATGAATGCTTCTGCCTTCCTCTTAAACTTCCTCCACTTCTTTCAGGGTGTGTTCCACAATGGTGTCTTGTCCTTGGAACTTAAAGTAGCCACGAAACAACTTTCTCTGAAGCACCAATGGGAACCAAAAGACATCATCTGGCCACATTTGTTTGAACGGCACCTCATCCAGTTGAAACCACTGAGGCTGCATTTCTGTTGGGGGAAAAAACAATTTTGTCTGAAATTTTCTCATGGTTTTTTGCCGCCTGCAGTTCCGCTGTGTCAACAAACAGCTTTGGGTTACAGCCCCGCTGCCTCCCTCCTCTGGAATTTCTGCAGGAACAGTTCTGCATTTATGTACGAGCAGTGCATTTCAAAAGCAAACACACATCAGCTCTGTGAGTTACCCACCGTCGCTTTCCTTTGGCTCTCCGTGAAACTGATCCGCTCGGAAAATGTGAACTTCCATCAGTTCAGAGTTGCCTACAAATTCAAAAGTGATCTGACCCATCTTCTGCAAGGTGTCCACAGTCAGCCCGCTCTCTTCCAGGAGCTCCCTATACAAAAAACAGGCGTTTTTATAGGAAAGCAAGCAGTGGGAGAACAAAAAGCAGCCGTTAACTTTACATCCAGAACTCCTCCTGTGCCTGCAACAAAGCAGAGTTCTGGCTCACATCACGCTACGTAGCCCACTGGCACCAGACTGGAGCGATGTCAGACTGACTCATGAGTTACCTCAGTGTGCTATAGAGGCCATGGGGAAAGTACTCTGTTAGAGGGGGAGGATTCACCAACAGAGACGACCTGGAAGGGCTTACATTCCATGCAAGAGGATGGTATTTCCTGAGGTTACTTAGAAATGGGCTATCACAAATGTGTTAAGCTGGATGTGGCTTAAGAACTCTGAGAAGAGCTTTCTTTAGACAAGCAGAAGGCTTTGCCAACATCAGGCTAAAGCTTTTAGAACTGTGGTGACACCAATAAGGAACGTGAGAACATCTCATCTAGGCTGCTACAAAAATCAGCGACTTCTGAGGCAAAGCGAAGCTCATGTAAGTAACAGTATGCACTGTGTGACCTCCCAGTTAAAAGCCACATCAAAACCACAAAATAATCATGTAAACCTTCAGTTTCTGCTCCTCAGAAGTACTTTCCGTGTCAGAGAGAGGCTGAGAGACAAGTCTTCTAAGAGCAGTCTGTGAGACTTGCCAAGCAGCTCTTTCCAAGGCCTTACCACGCATGGCCACTTGAAGCCCTTCAAATCACTTTTTCTTTCTATGCCACACGCTCATGTTGGTTTTTTTTTTAACCTGCTGCTAAGAGACCTTGAAACTTGTCCTGGTTAGTCTACTCCCTACAAAGGTAAGGGATACTTTGAACTATCTTCAGATAAAGATAATAACTAACGCAGTTGTACATTTGGCAGAAACCCGACAATTTCAAAACAGAAATGATTTTTAAGGCTCCAGCTTTCTCTGGCATCAGTTTCATGGATCCCATCCTTCAAAACTGTACTGCAATCTGATGCCTTAGCTAACTCTGGTTGATATTCCTGGAAAATGGTGCCAAAAACAGAGGCAGTTTTCAACCAAGAAAACTAAAAGCCTCGTTTCACAGGCTGTGGTAAAGGTCCAATAAGCGCAACGCTGCTGTGGTTTATTCAATAATTTATCTGTGAGCTGTTGGGCTCTGGATATAGTAAACACAAACACTGCAGTGGATAGAAAACGAGAAATTGCACTAGCTGACAGCTTTCCTTACAGGAAGTGCCACTGAATAGCTGTGAGCGCCCAGGCGCCTGTGTGAACATGATGGACTCAGCGGAGCACAGTGATCATTCAGGGCACTCTGTTCTCATTGCAGCTTAATACCCAGCAGTCCAGTCTGTAAAGATTAACTTCAGGTTACACCACTGCAACGCCAGTTGAGGCAACCACAACCTAACAGCTCAAATCCTGCCACAAAGCAGAGCGCTGCAGTGAAGTTTTACTTGGGCTGCACGACACCTCCTGGAGGAGAGCTGAACCCACACTCGTCCCAGGGCCGGCAGCCCCGTGCTGGTGCAGCTCCCAGTCAGGAAGGAGGGCAGCGTGCCCAGCTGGCCCTGTCTGTGGGGTCTGCTTTCTCCTCAGCTGACCTGAGCAGGAGTCAGGGGTATAATTCTGCAACGAGCTCTGAAGAAGAGCAGGCTGTGTCGCGGTCTGCAGCAGCAGGCGTTGTTTCTGCTGTGTCACATTGCACTGAGATGGCTGGAACATCCACCACCAAGCATCTCGTGGGAATTACAGCTCCAGTTTTTAACCCCAAGCTAACACAGATGAATACATGTGTGGGAAATCAAATTCTAAATTAATCAAGTCATCTCACTCCATGCTCATTGATGACATGAGCAAACAAAGGCCTGATTTAAGTAGTGAGACAGATCTCCCACCCTCAACTCAGAGATGATAAATTGTAGGTAGACACAATGTAAGCACCAGCTGCATTAACCTGGTGCTCCGCTGCACACAGACAGAGGCCTCTTCCCCCCCCCGATGAGCTCACTCACCGCACAGCCCCGGCCGTTGCACTGACACAGCTGAGGAAACAGTGCAAAAGCTGTTAGGAATCTGTTAAGCAACACTAAACTTCCTGCAGGTGCAAAGGTAAAGTTGGGGATAGATCAAGGAGGTAGCAAAGCACGGCTTTGTATCTGCAAAGCTCGTGTAAACAAGAAGGTAGAACCTGCTGTTTCATTTCAGTGACTAAAATGAAGAAAGTCCAGCAGTGAACCATTGCTGTCCAAACCCTGGAATGACAGAATTCTGCTCCTGAATTCAGTGCCTGCATGCAGTGAAACAGTTTCTACAGTGCTCTTCATGAGGCAACTTCAAGTGAAATTCCTAGTATTCTTCACTAAGTTCTTCTCACGGAGTACTAAAAATGTAAGTGGAATTTAGCGCCTTGAAGGCAGCAGCAGCTCACTGCCATAAGCTGCAGCGCCGCTATACGGCCAAACGAGAACGGTGCATCTGTCGCAAGAGCCTCTGCTCTCTGCTCGAGCAATTGGTATCAGCGGCTCAGGACCTCAGGACGGCGGCAGGGAGGATGCTCGCTAGCTGCAGTTACTCGTGGACTGGAAGACGCTCGGAGGTTCGCAGCAGCCAGGTGACGGGGAGCCGGGATGGTCCGTAAGGGCGGTGCTGAGCCGCCTGCGTGCAGGAAGGAGCGCTGCACGGACGTGCGAAGGCGGCACGGCGCTTACGGAGCCGCTACGGATCCGCAGGAGCGCCCGACTCCCTCCGCCCCTCTCCCAGGCCGGGCCTCACCTGCGCGCAGCATCCTCGATGCTCTCTCCCGGCTGCACTTTTCCTCCAAAGCCGTTCCAGAGCCCGGCCCCGAACCCGCGTTTCTTCATGCCCAGAAGGACGCGGGGCGGCTGCACCACCAGCACGAGGGTGAAGAGCCTGGAGGCGGACATGGCGCCGCGCCGCGCGGGGCGCCTGAGGGCAGCGCGCGGGCCGAGAAGGCGCGAGGCGCAGCGGAGCCCCTCCGCACAGCACGGGGCGCCTCACCGCCACCCCGTCACGGACCCTCCAGCTCGCCGCTCCCCCCGCTCTCCCTTCACCTTCCCGTATCCCCGCGCTCCCGGCCCTGCCCCAAACACCACGGTTTCCCCTTCTCCCCGCGCCCGGCTCTTCCCGCGCCTCATCCGCCGAGGCTCCGCCCTCAGCTCCGCCCCAGCGCGGGGCGGGAGGCGGCGGCCGCCATGGCGTGGTGCGGGGCGCGGTGCGTGACGGGGAGCCGGGCTCGGGGTTGCCGTCCCTGCGTCCTAGGAGCTGCGAGGCCCGTCCCTTGGTGACCGGCACCCGTGGCCCGGGGGAACGGCACGGAGCTGCCAGGGGAGGGGCGGCTGGGGGTCGGGGACGGGCGGTGAGCGCGGCCCGAACTGCCCGGAGCTCAGTGAGCGCTGAGTCGCCGCTGTGAGCCTTAGGGGCTTGGGTGGTACAGCGTGGTTCCGTGATCCAACTGCCTGTAAGAGCACTGCAGTTCCCCTTAAGACGATGAATTCTCGGCTTTAGAAGCCTTTCAGGAAGGTGACGTTCAGCCATGCTCACATCTCTGACACGGCGCTTGGGGTCAGTGAGGAGCGTGAGCTGGTGGTGAGGTCGTAGCCCAGCTCTGCTGCTGGCACACAGGCTGTGCAGCCCCGTGGCACGGCTGGCGGACTCGTTAGGGTTTGTTCACAGCACCAGGTGTCCATGTGAACAGAAAACACCTGAGGAAAGCTGCAGAGCTCCAGCAATGAGATCCCCCTTCTTCCCCCTTGGTTCAGGGAGTAACCAGTGAGGTGTTGATCCCCATTACGGCTCTTCTCGTGGTAAGTGGAGCAGGGAACTGTAGAGGCCAGGAATCTCTGAAGTTGTGAGGCTTTTGGTGAGCGTGGTGACAGATGGGAGGAGCCGTGTTCAGGGTGGAAATGAATCAGTATGTGCTTCAGAAACCTGTGCTGTGGCCATGCACAATCTGACTGTCACCTTTCTCCTTGGGCAGCTGTCAGTGTTTGCTGAGCCTTCCTCTGCAGCGCAGCTGTCTGCACAGCACAGTGAGGCTCCTGAAGAAGAAAACTGCCGCAGAGAACTGGTGGCTGGAGCGGCAGTTGAGGGATCCCTTCGTCAAGGCAGCGAAACAGCAGCATTACCGTTGCCGGAGTGCCTTCAAGTTACTGGAGATAGATGACAAGCTTCATATTCTCCGCCCGGGACTTTCCGTTCTTGACTGTGGAGCAGCACCTGGTGCTTGGAGTCAGGTTGCTGTAGAGAGGGTCAATGCCTTAGGTACTGGTGAGTGCACATTGGTGGTGTTCGGGATGGGGAGTGGTTTGTGTGTTTTGAGACGCTCAGAGTTATAAGGAAAAGCATTATCATGTGTACTGTTGTTGGATTATACTGCCAGCTCTGCAAAAATAAAAAACAAAAACCTCCCAAAAACACGATAGGATTACCTCTTGCCTATCTGATGTAACTGGGTTTTAACATTGTAAATGCTTTGACTAGTAGCAGACCATGTCGCTGCATGCAGCAAACCAGTTATGGATGGGCAGGAAGTCTGTGGCAGGCAGTGATAACTTTTTGTTTACTGAATATAACGGAGTTCATGTATATGCAAGTTGTTTTCAAGCACAAGAATTCAATTTGATGTTCATCCTTACAACCTAGATCCTGCTGCCCCTACTGGCTTCGTCCTTGGAGTTGACCTCCTACGGATTTCCCCGCTGGAAGGCGCAGTCTTCTTGTCACAGGCTGACATTACAGACCCAAGCACACAAAGGGCGATTCAAAACCTGCTTCCTGCAAAGAAGGTGGATGTTATCTTGAGTGACATGGCACCGAATGCAACAGGCATTAAAGAGCTGGATCATCAGAAGTTGATCGGTTTGTGTTTAGGCCTTGTGAATCTGTCACAAAGTATTTTAAAGCCAAAAGGGACAATACTGTGTAAATTCTGGGATGGACATGAGTCCCGTGTTCTTCAAAACAAATTGAAGGAGCAGTTCCAAGACGTGAGAACTATAAAGCCTCAGGCCAGTCGGAAGGACTCATCTGAATCTTATTACTTGGCAAGATTGTATAAAGGGAAATGAAAGCTGGGAAATACAGAATATCAAACAGGTGATCAGAGGCAGACTGGAAATCTGAACGTGGCATGTGTTTAAAGAAAACTCCCAGCATGAAGATCCCCAGCTTGAACTATTAGATTGCTGAGAACAACCTCGGGAAATCTGCTGCAATTCTCACGAAGTACATCATGCTTTTCAAATATGAAAATAAAACCAGGGTGCTGCCCCACTGAGTTTATCCACTAATTGCACAAGCAGAGACATCCAATCTAGCTTCACACCTGTGGAGAAAACAGTTGGGAATGGAGAGCAATAATGGAGAGCAATAATCTGAAAGGCAACCTCTGGGGCTGTTGTAATGGAAATGAAAATAAAGCAGTGATTGTATGAGTTCTTAACGTGTGCTTGAAAATCATTGCATTTCTAATGCTGTCAGATTTGAGACTAACCATAAAGGCGCTTGTCAGAACGAGAGGGGCTGGCTGGGGGGGGGTTGAGCCAATTCATTTCCTCTTCATCTTTCCTAAAAGCTGATGTCATTTATTAGCACACATCAAAACAGCGTTTTTGTGCACGTCAGGATCTGCATTGTCACATGTAGTCTCCAATGCAGACATTTCAAATGTCCGGCTCTGGCCCTGGACTATTCAGCTGATGGCTTTGCTGCACTTCCTAAAGATACAGCTTACATTTAGAAATTGCTACTTCACTGTGCTCATAAATCCAGTGACAGCAGGGCAGCATCGCCGCAGCTGAGATAATTCCTGCCTACGTTCTCAGTAACGTTTTATGGCTGACCAGTAATGCTTATTAGGCAAAATGACAAGTTTTTCCTAGAGCCCAGACAGGTAGAACTACTGATAAAACCGTGACTGAGTTGCCAGAGTTCAGTTTGCAAAAATAGATTTGGCCACTGCCTTATCTGGAAGCGACGGCTCCTCCATTAAACAGCGCTGCTATCAGGCTGGCTGTGCCAGGAGTTGTAAAAGGGGCTTCCGCATCTTCCTCGTCGTAAATATACCATTTCGAATGGCTCGCGGATTTATCAGATGGCAACTACTGTGAGCTTCCGTTTTTCATTTCCACGCGATTGCCAGCAGGCTCGGCACAGCCCGGCCCGCCGCCACACAGCCGCGCCGCGACCCGGGCGGAGCATTACGGTACGAACAAGAGCTGCGCGCCTCGTGCCGTCATTACGGCGTGGCGGGCCGCTCTTCTCGCGAGAGGCGGGTGCGAGTTCGCGTGAGATCTCGGCGGCGGGGCGAGGAGGGAGATCCAAGCGGGCAGCGGCGGTGAGTGCGGGTGGAGGGGGTGCGGTGGGGAGGCGGCGTGCAGCGCTGCGCCCGGGGATCCCGCACCGCGCTGCCCGCCGCAGCCCGCCTCCGCCCTTTGGCCTCGCCCACGGCTGAAGGCGGCGCTATGGGAGCGAGCGCGGCGGGCGGCGCCGCGTCCCCGTGCTCCCGTCCCGTGAGCGCAGGGCACGGCTGTGCCCCGCTCTGCCGTCTCGCGGACGGAGCCCCTCGCCCCGTGCTGCTCGTCCTTCGGCTGCTCGCGCCGAGGTGGGGTTGGGGGCTGCTGTGAGGCGCTGCACGGAACAAAAATAAAACAAACGGTGGTGTTTTGCAGCAGGGCGGCAGGGCGTGCCTGACTTGTTTGCTGGTGCTGTCCCTGTTCTCCCCGCGCCCGGTTTGAGATCGGTTTGCTGGAAGCCTGTTGGCAGCGTTGTCTTGTCGTGCGTGGTAATGCAGTGCTTGTTTCTAATAAACGTTTTCGTTTGGGTTTTGAGTGACCTCTTCCCAGCATGTTTCTGTTGTATCGGCTCCTTGTGATGACGTGAGTCCAAAGAGTGTTATTGCCGTGAGCTGGTGGCCCTGAGGGTCAGCCCTGAGCCTGGGCTGCTGTAAGTCTGTGTGTGTCCCGGTGCCTTTCCTGGCCCGGCCTCCTTTTGTGCTTCTGGGACTTGTAGGGCTTGCAGTTTCAGAGGAATTCACTTAAAGCTTCCCCAGGCATTCTGGGAGTGCCTTGCCAGCCTCTCTGACCTCCAGCTTTAATGCATTTGTGGCCATTTAGTGCTATTGCAAATCTGAAGGAAGATTTTGCAAAAACTTCTACATGAACAAGGAGCTTCGTCTCGCTGATGGAAGCGGTCTGTCAGGAGTGAGACGTGTTGAAAGTTACATACCAAAGTGCTGTTTGGAAACCAGAATCAGGCTGCTTACAAGGCAGAGCTTGCTATCCGTGTGAGATTTATTCTCTTCCTGCCCCAGCCCTTTTTTTGTTTGGGGGGCAGAGTAAGGAGTTCCTTTTGTGTGATGTGCTGCAGAGCTTCCTGTCCTGTGGTGTTACTTTGTATCCCTGAACCTATCCTGCTTACAGTGGAAGGGAGAGCTCATTTTGGTGTAACTTAAGGCAACTTCTGTTTGTATATTAACTTGCAGAGATTCGGGGGAATGTATCTAAATAAAAGCAAACCACTTTGGTTATAACACCAAGAAGAGGACAGTTTTTTTTTTTGCCTCAATTCTTCATTCCAGAGATCTACAACTTCTGCCTCAATGTGTGGTGTTTTCTGGTTGAGGTGACCCCAGCAGTGGCAGGCAGGTTAGATTCTGTGCTGTGTAAGATGGAAGATGTTGCATTTTGTGCCATCTTAGGGCAAATGTGTATATATACATATTTTTTTTTTTTAGCATCTGTATACTCCACATTGGTCTGGATGCTTCACTGATAACTTTTTATGTATTTCCAGAGCTATGGAAGACTTGGAAGGTAATACCACTGTCTTCTCCACCTTGAGATCCTTCAACAACTTCATTTCACAGCGTATGGAGGGGGTGTCCGGGCAGCCTGTGCCAGCATCATCTCAGAGCTCCTTGCAGATTCAGTACCAGCAGAGGGTGCAGGTGAGGTGTCCTCAGCGTGCTGCTGCCTGTAGCTTCTCTTCTGAATGGCTGTAGCCTCCTTTGCATCTAAGCATTGCATTTCTAAGCACTGGGGTTATTTCATTAAGATATGGCCATTCTTTATAAAACTGCTACTCATGCATGCTCAGTAACAGAGATTTATTTTCTGAGAATGTTCTAGAATCT